GGTGTTTCATTTGATGTTAACTAAATAAAAACGTTTTCATTTCAGCTCTGCTGACATATGGAGTGTGGGTTGTACCGTGATTGAGATGGCCACTGGAAAGCCTCCCTGGAGTCAGCAATACCAACAAGAGGTATCTCATTATGAGTCCTTAAATTATGCTTAAGGTTCTCTCTGAATCTACTAAAAGACAAAACTTTCAGGTTGCTGTTCTCTTCCATATAGGGACAACTAAGTCTCATCCACCAATCCCTGATCATCTTTCTGCTGCAGCAAAAGATTTTCTGCTAAAATGTTTGCAGAAGTAGGTTTCATCTGCTTCTCTTGCATTACAAATTCCTAGTTTTAGTGTGTTTCTTTGTGATTAATACTTGTCTCAAAGCATATGATGGAAGATTGATCAACTAAACATTATTGAGTTTTTATTTTTTTGGTGGGTGGAGCGGGGCGTGGAGGGGGTATGGGGAGAAAGATCCATCAGCACATTTCTATATTAAAAGTGACTTAACTTTCAATGTGTGCGTTGTGTGTAAAAGAGAGAATATATGCCTAGTATGCTTTTTTTTTTTTTCAAAGTTTGTTTATCAGATTACAAAAATCATGTAAATTTATAATCTTTTTGTAGGGAACCGGTCTTGAGGTCATCGGCATCAGAACTGCTGCAGGTGATACTTCAAGCATCTCTTTTAGACTGCGCATCTGAAGTGTATAATATTTTTGTGTAGCCATTTTAGTAATATTGATTGGTAGAAGACTCTACTTTTTTATTCTTATTGCTGCTGTTAACAGTGTTTTGCATGAAATATTTCAGCTCTCCCTAACATTATTTTAAGTTTGTAACTGACTGCAGCATCCCTTTGTAACTGGTGAACATATGACTTCTCTTACTTTGTCATCTAATGTCACGGTATGTAAAATTGATGTGATATTTGAAAGGCTATTGTATCTTTTACAAACCAATTTTTAAGAAAAAATTGCTTTCACTGCTGACAGGAAAATTTTATAGCTTCATCACCATCATGTACCCCAAATGATGAATCCATGTAAGTGTTGAATATTTCCTTCAAGGACTTGTAAGATTTGGTAGTTATTTATGTGGAGCATATAATGGAGCTATAATTTCAATATTATATTTTTCTTGATGCTAGTGAATGGCAATATGGTTTTATTTAGCAATTTTTTTGTAATTTATGTAGCCTTTGCTCTTCAACAGTAAATCCTCTGGACTCGGGAAATAAACAATTGTGGGGAATGAGCAATGATGATGATGATATGTGTGTAATTGACGACAAAGAAGAGTTCTCGCATAATGATGTTAAATACAAATCACTGATGTCAACTGATATTGAGGTGATTGTAGGTCCTTATTGTTTTATTTAAATATGAAATTAATGACTTCTCAGACACATTTTATTTCATGTAGAGTTTCAACCCAATGTCTGATCCCTCTGATGATTGGGGGTGTAAATTTGATGCAAGTTCAGAACTGGAAAATCGAGAGGTCAATTTTGTCACAGATGAAAATTACATGCCACCTGATCAGTCAGGGGATGATAAGGGGCAGCCAGATTTTTCCTTTCCAGGTGTCCCATCTCTTTCAGAGGAAGATGATGAACTCACAGAGTCAAAAATCAAAGCCTTTTTGGATGAGAAGGTATTGCTTTTTGTTGAAATCAAGTTTGTCGTTTCGCTGTAAATTCATCAATTTTTTTGTGTACTAACTGTTGTGTCATATGTTGATCATACATTTATGACAGGCTCTTGAACTGAAAAAGCTACAGACACCTTTATATGAAGAGTTTTACAACAGTTTAAATACATCCTGTTCTCCCAATGTTGACAGGACAAGTGATGATACTGCTTCTCGAAATTTTTTGAAATTACCTCCTAAAAGCAGGTCACCTAATCGAGTACCAATCAGCACACCATCTAAAGCCATCGATAATACTGGAAGTCCTGGAAGTAATGGCCAGTCCTCATCTACTGTTGGCCATGTAAATAACCATACATCTCAGGATATTCCAGCATCTCCCCTTAATGAATGGAAAGGAGTGATAGTTGACTCTCAGCAGCAGCCTAGTAGCCCAAGGTTTGTTTGTTTTTGCCTTGCCTTGCTTTTCTAAGCTTGAATTGTTTTCAGAAATATAAAGTAATTTAAGCACTGTATGTTGTACTTGCAGTCTAAGCTTTTCTGAGAGACAGAGGAAATGGAAAGAAGAGCTTGACCAGGAGCTTGAGAGAAAGCGAGGTTCGAAATCTTTTTACTAACATAACTAATAAGTTTCTATAATTCCTGATTTTGCAACCGTCATTAAGTTTGGCTGTATTAGTTAATTCGATCCTTAAGTTTAGTACATATTTAGTCAATTTAATTTAATACATAATATCTAGTACGAAGTCAATTGATTTAGTTAAATTGAAGTATCAAAGTGACCATAATTGTCAAATAGTTACTAAATTGACTAATTTGATGTGTTAATTTGAATAATCAAATTAATTGATAAGTATCCAATAGACGAAATTGCCAAATTTTGGTATTAGATTGACTAATTTGGAACCAAATTGACTAATTTGGAACCAAATTGACTAATTTGATAATGAATGAACCAAATTGGCGCTGTCAATTTCAACAGTCAAATTAATTGATAATTATTTATTACAGTCAATAAAATCTCCTTTTTTGTAATATCAGGGATCAAATTGAGCAACGATGCTAGTTTTAAGGATGAAATTATAATGCTGGAACCAAATTGAAAGTGTCAATTCCAAGAATCAAATTAGTTGATATTTATTACAATTAAACAAGATCGTTTTCCTTGTAATACCCGAGACCAAACCATGATGTTAATGTTAAGGATTAAGTTTATAATTTAGAACTCTTACTCAATTTGACTGTTATGTAAGCGAGAGACACGAACAGAGAATTCAAAGTTGTCATTGTCTTCAACATTCTTTCTCATGAGCAGAGAATGCTAGCGACTCTCTCACATTCCTTCTAAAAATCGTACTTTATTCTTAACACAATTAAAACATAATATGTTAGCTGAATTTGGTAGGATTCATTAATTTACAAGTTGATTTGGACAAATATTGCAGAAATGATGCGTCAGGCTGGCATGGGCGGAAAGACATCTTCACCAAAGGATCGAGCTTTACATCGGCAGAGGGAGCGAACAAGATTTGCTTCTCCCAGCAAATAAGAAACTCGTTAGAGTGTTCATGCTGCGTTAACTACTGAGATTGCAAACACGTGTTACTGCAGTTTTCCTGAGGTCGTTAATGTTATATATCCAATTGGGCCTTTTTGCCTTATAAAAAAAATCACATGCTAATCTTTGTCGTATTGTTGTGCCATGTAAAGCTTTTTATACATGCTTTACTTTGAAAATTTTTACTTTTCTTTGGGGTTTTAGAGATGCATGGCCGTCAACTTTATGCCCTTTTTGTATTATGAAAATAGAAATAATCAGAACTATGTGGCACAAGATTGCCTATGAATCTGTTGCCACTTGTCTATGTTTCCCCTGCTAATTGGTTTCCAATGGTAATTTGTGATCTGATTTTACTACTACAGTACGAAATTAATCTATTGATGACAGGAAACTTCTCACGGGTAGAACTAGAACTATTATTTAGAATCGTCAACTTCTGTAGAATAGAACATAATTATTTTGTTGAGATGTGAACTAGTTAGTTGGTTATTGGACTTGAACACTCAATCTAGTCTTACACCTTTTGCATGAAAATTTTTTCCGCATTGTTTTCTAGTATAGCTGATGCACATTGGTTAAGGTGTTCTTTTATTCCATAAATTTCTTCTGATACTTCTCATGTATTTCGGAATGGATTTTTTAGAATATATGAAAAACGTATTCTGGAAAGTTTAATTAGGAATGAATGAGAGGTGACTCGGTTTAAGAAATTGAATCCCATCTGTTAAAAAAGGGTAATAAATCACTTATCATTTTAATATTTCTGGCATACATGTGACAATAAAGAAGCGAGAAGAGTAATATATTTGATAAAATAAAAAACACTTAACCAACAATAAGTCTACTTCATATTTCGACTATTTTTATTAGGATTAAATATATTTTTAAATTTGGATGTAAAATTTGATATAGTGTATATCTTAAATTTTAATACATTTTAAAAATAAATGAATATAATTTTTTTAACTTAATAATATTAATTTTTTTAGACTTATTAAATACTGTTCTAGGTTGATATATCAAAGTTAAGAAAAAAAAATCAATTTTACCTCAAAGAATAAAAAGCATATTAAACCCTTTTTCATTATTATAGTCGGATCAATATGTGCTGTTTGTTTAATTAAATGTACCTTGCTGAACGATCAAGTGTTGGCCAACAAAAGTAGTAGATTTGGACTAGAGAAAGGTTAACTAAATAGGGCAATACAAGTTGACATAAAACTCGTGAAAATTAGATAGAGTTTTGTCATTAATGTATCTTCTCATACAATAATTTATACAATAATACTTTCTATACCATAATATCGATATGTCCCAAAAAAATTAACATTCATTACATTCTTCTTTCTTTCTCTCAATTATAAAATTTCTAGTATCCAGACAAATACCAAACCAATTCATTACCAACATAATATAAAAGAAATATTGTTTTATCCATTATACAGTATATAAAAAAAAATATTTTTACCAGCCAATCTGATCCATAAATCATTTGGGTAAAATGTCATGTTTATAGCGAGTAATAAAAAACTGCAAGGTAGTCTATACATTAATTCATTGAAACGTGAGTTCAAACCACGAGCTTATGACATGTTTTTTGAGGAAACAAATGTTTAGAAAAGGAGCAAAACATAGCAAAAGATAAAGATATTATGCATGCGCTTTGGAGAAGTAGCATTACTTTTGAAGTTAAAACGTATTTCTTTATTCTAAAAAATTTAATAAAATCCCTTCCTTCAGACGTTTCAGATAAAACTGCCATCATGAAAGGCATAAACGTAATATATATTTTCAAATTTTTGGAGGAGGGAATTTCACAGTTGCTGCCGGTCGTTGTTTCACTCCATTTAGTATTCCCTCACTTTGCTGTGCATTTTTCCTGCTCTTCAACGGTGAAACAAATCTGGTTGCCAATCTTGAAGGAGAGAAAGATCGACATAGTTTTGATGTAAGTGATCCCTTTGAAGAACTCTTTCTCAAATTCACTACCCCGTCATTTTTTTTCTCAGTTTTCTTACTCCTTAATGGCGAGGAAGCTAATAATCTCGCCGCGACTCTAGAAGGAGAGAAAGATCGAAACCATCTCTTTGGAGAACTCTTCTTGCTTAAACTCAAATTCGTAGTGGCAGGTCTCGCAAGCGAAGAGGAAATAGAAAAAGTTGATGGGTTTTTAACTTTGCCTTGAAATTGGGAAGCTTTTTCAGCCGGGCACTTCATCAAACACTTGTGTTGTGCTCCCATGTTTCTTGATATGACAGGAGACTTTGTCTTGCAAAACTGTTGTTGCCTTGAAAAATGTGTAGAGAAGAACAAAGGTCTATTCTTGGTAGATACCTTTAAACACTTAACATCATTCTGTTTCTGAAACTCTGCAGCTTTTGGAGGAGAAACCTTAAAGTCGATCCTAGAACGAGCTCGCAGAGGTTGTGGGGAATCAGAAACTACTTTTGTTTGTTTCTCTTTTTTCCTTCTATCATGGAGCTCTGTGTTTTCAGGGTCAGCTTTCTTATTTGACAGTTGGGACAGTGGAGTTTGTGGGGCCTTGCTGCCACTTTTCTTACTCACAGCTGAAACTATTTCTCTAGTAAATCGACTTGCCTGTAAAATTTCTCCCACAGTCTCATCAACAAGCATTAAGGACAATGACATTTGTCTCCATTCTTCACCTGCATAAACATTTTCTTTTACACATGAACTTCAATGGTTGCACATGACAAGTTAATTCACAATGATTTCGGAACTTACTCGGTGGATATCTTCTTGCTGCATCCTGCTTGTTCCTTCAAATATATGAATAATCACAATTACAACTAGTATTTTTTTTACCCCTTTCATACAGATTTTATCATTTTAAACATACGGTTCAAATCAACAATCATAAAAACCGTTTTTTTTTATTATAATAGTGCAATTGTACATACAAATTATTGAAACAAGCAAGTTTTATAAATTTTTACAAAGGATAAATTGTGCTTGCATGACTTTATTATAAAGAGATCATGACACAATTTGTAAGGGAGAGGAGAAATTGTGTAAATGAAACACAACTTTGATTTTTTTTTCTTTTTAATTTGAAAAAAAGTTGTACAAATTTCATTAGACCTAATATGATTTGAATTGAAATCATGCAAAATAATAGAATTTACATATTGCATGGCTTCATTTCCAAGTGTAAGACCATTTGGATTTTTTTTAGAAATCTAAAATCATGTCATACAATTAAGTCATTTGTCCATTTCCATAATATTTTTAATACTTGCTAATTCTACTAAGCTGTTTATAAAATTGGAGATTATGGTAAGAAAAACCCATAAAAGTTTATACTTTTCATCATATTTTACAATATCTAATGAGAAAATATAAGGCCCTGTAATATAATCTTAAAATAAGATGCATGCAAAACCAAAATTTACCCGACTGATTCTTGCTTGCACCTGAAAGTGGTGGTCGGAGGGAGGAGACTTACCCCTGAGACCACCGTCGTTCCACCGGCCACAGTGTACTGAAGTTCGTGTAGTCGAACGATGCACTGATCTACCTTCAATCACCCACCACAACAATTCAATTTTAAGCTCAGCCAAAAAAAAAATCAACAAAGCAAAGAAAAAAAAATGAATAACGTGGATTAACGTATCACCTTGTTGAGTGTTTCTCTGATTAGAACAGGATTCAGAATCAACATTCTATTTTGTTTTGGTGAGGTTCTACCAATCATCTTTGCAGAAAGGGTTTCAAAATTTCAAAACTGTAGACTCCTTTATCATCACTCAATTTATTTATTTAAAAATAAGATTTTGATACATAAATTTTTTATATTTATTTAATATTATTATTTTTAAACATAAAAATTTATTTTTTGTAATGCTCTTCTCCTATTCTTCGCAGGAAACGTTTACGACTGTTACTCAACCGTTCTGTTTTAATTTTAAAAACAAGAAATCACGTTACTGTTTTCAACTCAGCCAATCTTCTTTCAGAGAATAAAAACACTTAAAAATCGTTATATTAGAATAAATGACCATTTCGATTCTTAACGTTAGAGTTGTAACTCTTTTGCTGGGTATTTTGTTCTTTAACTTTGATCTTTTCAGAACTGAAATCAGCTAAATTAATGATCATTATTAATTCCAAAAAGAATATAGATTAATCTGACAATGCTGGAAAATAAGTCATCCAAATTCTCTCACTTCGCAAAGCGTTTTAAACGTAAAGGCACTAAGAAAATATAGCCTGTTTCAACTCAATAAATATGAAGGCATGATGATGTTGTCAAGAATTACACAATACCACTTGAGGGGCCATTACATATCTCAATGTCCCATAACGGCTAGCTTTCAAAAACTCAAGATCAGATATAAAACTTTTCCAAACCTAAATAAGTTTATAAAATAAATATTTTGATTGAAAAAATATTTAAGAATAAAATTGGATCTCTTTATATAAATAGTATAGATGTGAAAATTAGGTAATGTAAAATTTCTAGACTAATATTTTCTACAAGTACAAGATTATTTGCATTTATAATTTTATATATTTTATATTTATGTAGTTAAATATATTTTTTGTTTTTAAATTTTGATTCAAAAGTGAAATTTATTTACGTTTTAAAGGTGTTCAAATTTTAAAAATAATAAATATAATTAAACAATATTGTAAGTCGAGTTTAGATTGTTTATACATGTTTTTAACTCAAATATCAATCTAAAATATCTTTTTAACACATAAAAAAAATTAACTTTGTTGAATTGAAAAAATATAACAATTTATTTTTAAAGGTAAAAAAAAAATATATCATTGAAATAAAGACGAATTTCAATTTTTATTTAAGTTTAAATATTACAAACATATTTAATGTATTTACATTTATAATTTAATTGAATATTTAAAGTGTTTATTGTGAGGGCTTGTAAGAATATAAAAGAGCCATTGGACCTTATGTGAGGCAACTAGACCAAACCAAGGACAACTTAGCCTTAGGAAAGTCTGATTCAGTTGCTTGAGCTCTCTCCCTCTCTAAAACTCTTTTGCCTTAAATTCTCTCTGCCTTCTCTCTAAAAATTTACATTCACTAAACCAATCTTGGATTTGAAGGTGCTCAAGCGTTCACCACACCGAAGGCTTCCTTTTAACCCGATCATATTTTCGTTTGGACCGGTAAGTGATTTTCCCCCTTTCCTTCGCTGTTTCTGGAGCCTAGGGCATGCAACTTTATTGGTTGCATGTTGCTAGTGGGGTTTCGTCTTTATATTTTCTGTCAAATCAAGCTCTAAGAGCTGTTGCTGTCACCACTTTGGTGGTTTGTAGGGTCAGGTTGAGTTCTTGTGCTGTGAAGGGTACTGTTAGGACAGTTTCAATTAGTTGTGCTTGGAGAAACCCAGGTAAAGGAAGCTAGTTATATTTTTTTAGGAGCTGTATGATGTGCATGTTTGATAAATTGTGAATTGTCTTACTGTTATACTATATTTTGGTGGTGAGCATGTTGAGTTGCATTTGTTGATAATGTGAAATTTGTGTAACCATGGTGTGCTGATTATTATTTGACTTGGATGAGTTTGTTGGCTGTACTTGATTTTGTTAGAGAGGTTTGGAGTAAGAATTCTGTAATATCGTTAATATGAATAGTAAGTAGGTATACAAGTACTGTTTTAGGTTACTGTGAGAGGAAGTGAAGTATTGAAATTGAGCAATTGGAGTCTAGAACACCATAGGACAGTTTGGGTGACTTAGATAAATCAATTGCGACTTGTTGGGAGTACTTTGTTGGTAGGATAGAGGAATCTTAAAAACCTGAGTTGGCACATCCCTGATCATAGAGCAACTCTGGTCTGATCCAGTCAGTTGTGACTAGTCATATGTGCTGGCGTTGACGGTGAGTCTGATGCGTTCAGACATTGGATTCTTCTCCGATGACCAATTGGGTTAGCAATGAGTGTTTGAGGTGGAAATCATGCATTAGCCTTGTTAGATGAGTCAACATTTACTGAAGTACTGTTTTAGGTCTTTTGAGAGGAACTGAGGTAGTAAATTTGAGTATAGGTGGTCTTGAGTGCAATTGGACAGTTTGGCTAGCTTGGATGAGTCAATTAAAACTGGTTAGGGTCATAAAACTGAGTAAAGTCATGTTCAAAATGGTAGAATTGAAATTGGGTTCTTGGACTAATGAAATCGAAGTTTTAAGCTAAAAGTTGGATATTGATCACTTTAGAATCATGTTAATAATGTTTATAATCAAATAGACAAATTTAATTAGGCTTATACTACGATCTAGGATCATTAGAAGTTAAGGAAGAGGTCTAGAACGAGTTCTGGGGTGTTGAGTACTTGAAATTTTTAGAATTTTGTTCTGTAAATTATGCAGACTCGCATAGCGCACCCTGTGCGCTATGCGAATTTTAGCTGAAAAGCTTTCCCCCGTTAGGAAAATTCGCTCAGCGCACCAAGGGTGGTGCCCTATGCGAATTTTAGCTGAAAAGTTTTCCCCTCGTTAGGAAAATTCGCTCAGCGCACCAAGGGTGGTGCGCTATGCGAATTTTAGCTGAAAAACTTCCCCCGTCAGGAAAATTCGCTCAGCGCACCAAGGGTGGTGCGCTGTGCGAATTTCTGCTGTCTTGCCTTGCACCCTGGTGCGCTGTGCGACCTGATTCAGTGAGTTTCACATTTTTCTTCATCTGTTTGAGCTGTTTGATGTTGTTTGACTGCTATATAATTGATTTGGGTGGCTTGATTTTGCAACATGATTGAGAGTATGTTGTATTGTGTGTGAATTATAGTTTGGAAGTATGTATAAAACAAAGTTGTGATTGGCGTAAGTGTAACAAGTATGGTTCATGGACGTAATTCCATGATCCTCAAGGAGAGGATACATGGTGGTGCCCTAGTAATGTGTAGAATGATTGCATGAAAGCTCAGTCTTGGGGGTTTTCCTGAAACTACAATGATCAATCATTCTCAAGTAGAGAGGATTGAATCATGTGGTGAGTAGTAGCAGAAGGTCCTAGTCTTGGAGGCTTCTAGTATGCTATAGGGCGCGGAACGGACTAATCTTGTGAGTTTGGTAGGATGGAACCCATTGGCAACGGCTTTGCAAAGCAGTAGAGGCCACCACGAGTGCATAACCCGCCATAGCTCGGCAATCATTCTAGTCCGGACGAGTCGGTTTATAATGCAACAAGTCTTGTAATGTCATTTACCATGTTTTGAGTGAACTATGCATGTTGTGTGTGTGACTGTATAACATGTTTTTCATACCTAGCTCACCCTTGCTTGTTTGTATTATTCGTGTATGATTCCTTTTGCGATGATCATCCACTTGGATGAGAGGAGATGGCGAGAAGGTTTCCTTGGAGACAACTTTGGAAGAAGACGACAATGTTGCAGTTTAGGCTTCCTAGGAGTTTCTTAGTCATTTGATGATATTTTGAAATATTTTTCATCTTTAAGTTTACAGTTTAAACCTCTTTTGTTAAAGTTAAATTAATTCTGAAGCTATTTTAAGGATGACTGTAATCCTAATTACTCTTGACTGTTTTTCTATATTATGCATGATGACGTCTTTATTATATATGTTTTTCTATATAATCGGGATGTCACATTTCTCATATTTCAAAATGGATAAACAATTGGTTGTATTTGAAATTTCTTACTATTTTATATCAATTTTTTTTGAAGTAGGGTACAACATTTATAATTGAAAGTTTAAAGATTTGAGAGATTAATTCTATTCAAAGATTGAAGAATTACTTTTAACTGGTTTTACAGTTAATGAACTTCAGCTGTAGTATGTTAAGGTGTGAATTTCCCATGGATGGATTAATTTAGGTGTAATAATGGTATATTAGTTAAAATTTAGAATCAAGTTAATAAGTGATAATTGATTATTTAATGGAGATAAATAATTAATCCATTTTATTTAATCCTACTAATTCATTTTCTTTAACTGTTATTTTTCTATTTAATTACGTTTTTAATTCTACTTCTCAAACATTTTTTTTTACATTTTAAATGTTTGATGCACTATGTTTGATAGACAGTTAATAGTATTAAATAAATTAAACCCAAAACTAAACGACTCTCTAACTGCATTTGGTTTTTTAATTGTTCAATATTTTGATTTCGATGTATTGGAAAATCTAAACATTAAATTGACACATTACATTCATGTTGGTGCTAGTTTTAGGGTTTAGGATATGTGTTGGACAGATACTTCTAAAGTTTCCACGGAATCATCAGTATATCCATAAAGGTAAGCATGGATTCAGTATGGACGTGTGTCGATATTGTTCATTTCATTCCTAATAATAATTGATACCATAGAAAGCAACAAATGCCAGACTTTATCATCTTGTTTTTCATAATTTCTATAATTAAGAATTGAGTGTTAACTTTCACAACAGCAAAATAATTACATTGAATCTCATAAAATAAGCATAATCAGGGCTGCAAATGGCTAAATATTCCCTTTTCCTGCCAAGATCCTGTGATCAAATTCTAGTCGTTCCTATTCATTATTTTATTCACAGCGTACGAATAATGTTCAGGGTATAGAGACAAACAAAACAGGTAAGGGGGTAGCACGCCAGAATGTGAACCTGGTTTTCCATAGCACATTAACATGAATTAAATTCTCTCATGAATGATAGGTCGAGTGTTGCTCCAAAGCCATTGGAGAGCAGAGCCATCCAAAAATGGTGAAACCTGTTAGGTATCATAGTAGTTAACAGAACAAACAATATGCAAGATTACAAAACAGAAGATTTGAGAAGGTTTTTGGGATAGGGAGCTGGAAAAGACTGCACAAAGCAGGATTAAAGATGGTTCAGGTATGATAAACACACACACAAGCATGCTCTATGATGATTAAGTATTCTTGAACTGCTGAGGTGCAGTGGAATTAAAAATACTATTATCAAGAAACATAAGTAAAAGGATCAGACAGACAGTTACAAGAAAGCAAAACCATGGAATAAGTTCATCTAAGGAGAATCAAAACAACAACATAAAACAAGTCATGGAATACACTAGAAGGAAATATAATGAACCTAAAATAGCCAAAGCAAAATACCTTTTCCCAGACTAGTGAGTGGTAATTGTTAAGCCAATCAATCTCAGCACCCGATAGCAGAGACAAATCAACCAATTTAATCTGCAGGATATGCTCAGGTTAGTAAAAAGAGTACAGAAGGATATATATGGCTTGGAAGTTATGAAGTTTCAGTGAGACGACCAAATGAAAACTGAAAGTATTACTCCAAGTCCTCAGAAATTATATTTAAAATAATAAACAAACATTCAGAATGGAATCAGCAGCCAATTCAAATTAATGATAAATTTCCCGATGATACTTTCAGCAATGCAGGAACGGAGAAAATACACTATTTATAATTTTTGGTTAGTAACTTATCTCTGCTTGTGCTTTATAAGATTAATATTCTATAAAAAAAATTTAATTGATTGACTAAAAACCGTTAGGCACTGAATTGTCCACCATCAGTCTCGTTTCAACTCCTAAAGAAAGAAAAGACTTGCTGCTACTACATTAGTATAGAAGCATAATTAGATAAAATTTTATGAGAATATAAGCTATTTTACATCCTCAATGTCCTGATGATGAACTATAAACCGGCAACAGGCATTTTACCTTGCACAAACATCACCCAAAAAGAAAAGAAAATAAATCCATCAACTGTAGCAACAAAAATACGAGGAAAAGATGACCAACAGGCAACAACATACCTGAATGGGTACATACGTAAGTTTTTCAAATCCAAGGTACTGGACTCCCCCAAAACGATTTGGTGTCTCGACATTTTTTACAAAAAGGAGATTCTGCAAGCTAAAAGAGTATCATCATCATGCAAACCAGAATATAAGACAGTCAAAATGTTATTCTAACAGTTAGGATCAAAAAAGGAATAGAGTGCGACGGTGTCCCGGTATTTTCTACTCATTGCCAAGTGGTGCTAAGAATAATGAAATATAGAAAAATCTTGAATAGCATAATCACTGCAAGTTTGTTAAAAGATACTCATGGTTGATGGAAAGTTATGCAATGCACACATGAAATTGAAACTGCCACTCCTTAACCAGAAAAGGAATTTGGAAAGTAGCAATCGAGATTCAAAAGTTCTCAAAAGACAGCCTTTCATTAGAAATTTAGAATACTTCCCGAATTCCTAAACCTCAACTTTCATTAGGTGTAAATGGTGAGCTTCTTAAAGGAAATAAAATTAATACAAGTATTAACAACACCTAATAAAACTACTTGTATGATAATCTAAACAATACAGCAAGACTAGGGGCTAAAGTTAACATTTCAAAGCATATAAGGTAGCTTAGGAGAAAATGACCTCAATCCGAATGCCAAAGGCATGGTCTTCATAATAGCCAGGCTCATTGCTAACTACCATGCCCTTCACTAGAGGGGTCAAATTTCCGAAACGGTGACTAATACTTTGAGGGCCTTCATGAACATTTAATGCAGCTCCTACACCATGCCCAGTCCCTGAACAGATGACAATTAAGCAAAATTGTTCAATCAGTCAATGAATCCATTCGGTTTTAAGAAAATAACTGCCCTCCATTTGAAGTAGGAACATACCATGCCTGTAGTCAAGTCCAACTTTCCAAAGAAAGGTGCGGGCAAAAGCATCCAGCACAAAACCAGGGGTATTTTCAGGGAAGACAGCCTGATCAAGAGCTATATGGCCCTGTAATATATGGGTTTAGCCAGAGAATTATTTAAGAAGGTCAAATTACCAGGACAGATAGATCAAAAATTAATAACAGACATTATGCATGCACTAGAAAATAAAAGCATATAAATTTTGTAAGACAAACACAATCTAGATTGCTGAATTGAGAAGGACACTTGCATGAATGAAATGCATAAATAAACCCAGGAAAGAGGTACAAGCAATCTACCTGCAAGACTCGAGTAAAGCATTCTTTCTCTCTTGCTGTAGGCTTGCCAAAATGAACTGTCCGTGTTATGTCAGTTGTACCATCAACATATTGAGCACCACTATCCAATAAGAACAATTTATTGGCATCCACAAAACTACAGCTCTCTGGTTCTGGTTTGTAGTGTATGATAGCCCCATTTGGACCAGAACCTGAACCAATGAAATGCACAAACTACTGCTCAAAACAGAGGAATTGTACCGAAGACTAAGAGAAGTAAAAATATAAACCGAACTACTGGTAAATATAAGTACTGTGAGGAATAATAGCAACGTATTTCAATAGAATTATCATATTCTGTTAGATAGGATTACTAAATGGTGTTCCTTTGCATTCCATATTTATAGCAAGAGGTATGTTATCTGAATTTTCCCCTAAAATAATTGGCAGTTAAATAAAATTGAGGAAAAATTATGGCAGTATCTTTTCATGTTTCTTTAACCATAATTCAATAGAATATATTGAAAGAAATTGACAGTCAACCACAGTACCACTTATTGTGTCAAAGCTAGTATCCAGGAAACCAGCTTGTTTTGAGCGAAAGTCAAGAAGTTTTTCCGAAACCTCTACTTCTGTCAATGTTCTATCCTTGGTAATTTCTGTTTCTAACCAATCCCAGAACTGAGCAAGGGCAGCAGCATCCCTAGAAATGAAAAGATAGCATAATTATATGTACATACGTACATGTGTGTATGCCTCCTTTTGTTTGACAAGTACACTAATTTAATTGAACATTTTTATCAAACATCAATGAATATCTAACTGAATGAAGAATGAATTATGCAGCCACCATCAATATGCAGAGATCCAATTAGGAAAAGATCATTAAAGCACAGAAATCGAAACATGCATAAACCATCAGCAATAACCCTGACAATGGTAAAACAGGGTTACCTTAAAAGGCAATTTTGCATCCCTTCTAACGTACATGTGTGTATGAATCCTTTTGTTTGACAAATACACTAATTTAATTGAACATTTTTATCAAACATCAATGAATATCTAACTGAATGAAGAATGAATTATGCAGCCACCATCAATATGCAGAGATCCAATTAGGAAAAGATCATTAAAGCACAGAAATCGAAACATGCATAAACCATCAGCAATAACCCTGACAATGGTAAAACAGGGTTACCTTAAAAGGCAATTTTGCATCCCTTCTAACGTACATGTGTGTATGCCTCCTTTTGTTTGACAAGTACACTAATTTAATTGAACATTTTTATCAAACATCAATGAATATCTAACTGAATGAAGAATGAATTATGCAGCCACCATCAATATGCAGAGATCCAATTAGGAAAAGATCATTAAAGCACAGAAATCGAAACATGCATAAACCATCAGCAATAACCCTGACAATGGTAAAACAGGGTTACCTTAAATGGCAATTTTGCATCCCTTCTAACTCTGATTCATTTTTTATGGCCTTTGAAATAGAAACAGGAGAGACTTTATGGACAGCAAAGGGTACATCCGAGCTCTCAATAGACCCATCAAAACCATTTGTCCTGGTTTTGTGTTTATTCTCTCGGTTCCGATAATATCTGTTGCAGGAAGCTCCATAGGCATTTACAATAGCAGCATTAACAGATGAAGTATCCAACCAAAGAGCAGCACCTTGTGCTGCCAATCTTAAAAAGAAAATCAAGCTCAATTCCCAAAGCCATGATGCTTTTAAAAAGTAGTAAGCATAAACAATTGACAAAATGAAAGATAAAATCACATTAGTCTGTCTCCAACAATATTCTTGAACATTTCAAGCAAAACAGTGGGAAAATGGGGGGCATAAAAATAAGGATTTTCCATAATCACCTTTCAATTTCAGATATAATTGAATTGTATGTCCTGATCTGTATATCAGCTTTCTTTAAGTGATCCCTCACCTCTTCAGTAACTTTGGAATCATCTACAAATAATTTTGCTCCATCAATCTCCACAATCAAGTATGCATACACAACTGGTGAATGTGGAATATCATTGCCTCTCTTCAAAAGAAAAAGTCAACATGTTACTCTCACTGAATGAAACATTAGCAAAGAACATTGGAAAAAAGGAACCCATAAATTACTTATGTTAGATTTAGATCCAAGCAACTTTAATAAAATCTTGAAGGTGTACAGGGATATGTAACAGTATAAACCAAACCATCATTATATCAAGAAAAAGAAAGTGTAAATAATTAAAGATACATTACCAAGTTCAACAACCATGCAATTTCATCAAGCATGGAGATGACAATTGCAGAAGAGCCAGCATTGACAAGTTCTGATCTCAAAGATGACAATTTTGACGCAACATCTAAACCAGCATACTTTAGGTCATGCACTCTAACTGGATTATTTGGAGGTTTTGGCCTAGATTCTTTCCATATTTCATCCACAAGATTTGAATTGTACAAGTAAACAAGCTCATGATCTTTCTTAGAGATAACCCCCTTAAGTTCCTCTGCAGCATCCCAAGTAAAAAGAAACTGCCTCCTTAACAATATGGAAGAGAACATCGTATTAGGAAAAGAAACCAAATAACGGGTATGCAAGCTCAAAAGAAAGGGTAAAATTTTTTTAATTGTTCAAGGTAAGTATAAGTAACATGACATTCAGGCTTAGACTAACAATTAGAACAAATAACCTAGGCTTTGTTTGGATAAAGAGTTTTCCATTATAGAGGAAAATAAACAGAAATAATTAAACATGCTTCTCAATAAGTTAAATTTTAACATATGCACAAATAAATTCTGTAAAATTTCTGAGTTATAGCTTCCCCAAAACTGATTTTAACTAGAGCATAAACAAATTTTAGTTTATGGAAAAAGTTTATTTCATCTTTTTCTTATTTTCTTCTCCTATTAGTGCTTAAAGAAAAGCTTATCCACACATCACACTACTACTTAATTGGCTATGCTGACAATACAACATTGTTCATATGACTGGGCAATAAATAGGGAGAACTTCAGTTTGTTTTGCTGAATGTTACAATCAAGAGAATTAAACATACAGTTTGCAATAAAAACAGAAAAGAATATTGAAAAAAATATGCATGCAACATAAAAAGAGGATATAAATGCCCCAAGAAAACTCACGGGATCAATGCCAACTCTGCCACCTGGAGCCAAAACCTCATTGAGCCATTCACCTGCAGTAGGGACTCCTGAGTTTCCTGCTCGCATTAGAATCCAATTGGAGTTCAGCTGCTTCTCTGCCTGCCCAATGCAGGAAAATAATCACAAAATTAGTTCAATTCATTCTGTATGAAGATGAAATGCGCAGCTCGAGTCCAATAAAACCTAACCTGGAGAAAATATCTGCCATCTGTCCAGAGAGCAGCTTTGTCCTTAGTAACCACAGCAGTTCCAGCACTGCCAGTAAAACCTGATATGTAGGCTCTCCTCGTGTAACACTCAGCAATGAACTCACTCTAACACCAAATTCAAATAATCATGTATATACACCCTTGGTCTTTTTGGTTAGAGTGAGTTAGAAAGAAAAAAATGAAAGGATGAACGATGTACAAATCCAAAGGGATGTTCATTTGAACATTCTCTATTTCCAATTGTATTAAGAATATGTTGAATTTAGTTTATCCATTAACTATACTATTTAATTACTCATAAATTAGTTTCATCTCAAACATACACCACGCGAATTTGAGTTACAATATTACATACACAACATGCAACATCTAACTTAGTGATATGGGCCAAGTTAGGGACTAAAACCATAGTAAGCAGTTCAGTTTAGTAACTAATTAAAAATGACATACGTTGGGATGTCACAGGTTTTGAAAAAGAGAAAGAGTAAACTTTTAATTCAATCTATCTAACCAGAATGTCCGATGCCATTCACTTGTACACAGTCAACTATCATTATAAAAACTCATTAAGTCTACAAAATCAGTTTAAGAGCAAGACCAAATTGACTTAGAGGCTCTTCACTTTAAGGAAAGTCTTTATAATTGTTTACTTTCACAAGCTAACTTAACATCTATTCACAATTTCAGAGACAACATTGATTACTTATCCTTCTTTTTAACAAAGAATCATCTTATTTTTTCTTTCTCTTCCATTCTTTTATTTTCTTTCCTGAATCAAGCTAATCATTACATTGACAGAGACATTGAGGCAAAGCAAACCTGGTGAGCGTCCTGAGAAGGGATGACGTAGGCGTCAATGTCAACTCCAGGTTTGGAGAAGAGGCGTCGGAGCGCGGTGAGCTTGGTGTCAGGTTGGGATTCTGCGAGGGGTTTTCTAATTTCGGAAGAGGGTTTCACTTTGAAGGAACTGCTGCTGCAATTCCGAACGGTTAAGGAAGGTTTATTCCATTTGAGTCTGAAGAAATTTGGGTTTGGGCGAGAGAAGAGAGGAAGGGGAAAGAAGAAAGAGCGCGTTGAAAGTGAAAAAGACGGTGAAATGAGAGCGAGTTGTTGCATCGTAAGTTGATGATTTGTGCCGGAAGATGAAATTGCAGAGAAGCAAGAATTTATAATTATCAGTAGATGATATTCTTTGGTTCGCTCTTTAATAATAATCACTTGAAAATATCAAATATTCTAATAAATTAATATTGCAATATATTAGACATAAGAAAGAAATATGCAAAAATTAAATTATATTAAAGTTGAAAAAATATTTAATATTTCTTAAAAAATAAAAACAGATTGAAAATATTCGCTCTTTTTTATTTTTTTTAAAAAGCTCGGATTTCGAGAACCCCCACTAATACCCCATCAGCAGCGCAATGATGATGTCTCCATTACTATCTGTCAAAGCTTGAAGGTGGTTTCAACTTTCAAGCTCGGAGCATCGACCATGGCTATCATCACAGAAGAACCAGAATCAGAGCCACAACAACAACCTCGCAAACCAAAAACCAAAGCCAAACGTCCGTCTTCTCCACCAACCCACGGCGGCAACAGCAACAACAGCAACAGCAACAACAACCCTTTCTCTTTCTGGTTCTACTTCACTCTCTCCGTTTCCCTCCTCACTCTCGTCTTTGTATTCACCTCTTCCCTTTCTCCCCGTGACCCCAAAGCCTGGTTTCTCACTCTCCCCGCTTCCCTCCGCCACCACTACTCCAACGGCCGCACCATCAAGGTCCAGACGCACCCCAACGAAACCCCCATCCAAGTATTCACCTTTCAAGAGGGTTCCACATCGTCCGAAAACATAGTCATTGTGCATGGCCAGGGTCTCAGCTCATACTCCTACCGCCAACTCGCCAAATCTCTCACCGCCAAGGGAGTGCACGTCACCGCCGTTGACCTCCCTGGACACGGCTTCTCCGATAAGTCCGTGGAGGTGTCCATGGAGGGGGTCGACGGGATTTTGGGGCGGTTTCAGTACGTGTACAGTGAGATTCAAGAGAAGGGTGTCTTCTGGGCGTTTGATCAGATGGTGGAAACCGGTCAAATACCGTACGAGGAGATTCAAGCGCGTATGTCGAAGAGAAAAGTGAGAGAGCCCGTTGATTTGGGTCCACAAGAGATGGGAAAAGTGTTGGAGGAAGTTATCGATTCGATGGGGCTTGCACCTGTTCACTTAGTTCTGCACGATTCCGCGTTGGGGTTGTGTGCTGATTTTGTTTCTCAGAGAGCTGAGTTGGTGAGGAGCGTGACGCTTATCGATGCGGCGTCGTATGGGGCTTTTCCCCTTTGGGTGCTGGAGGTCCCTGTGGTGAGGGAAGTGGTGTTAGGGGTTTCTTTTGTGTATGCTAAGGTGGTGGGTTTGTGCTGTTCCAAGAGGGTTGGCGTGGCTGATTCGGATGCGTTGAGGTTGTTGTTGAAGGAGAGGGATGGGAGGAGGGCGGTCGTGAATGTGGGAAAGAGGGTGAATTCCAGCTTTGACTTGGCAGAGTGGAGTGAGGGATTGAAAGCTATGCCAATGCAGGTGCTGTGGTCTGCTGGCTGGTCTCATGAATGGAGTCAGGAAGGTGACAGGGTTGCCAATGCGCTTCCACAGGCCAGTTTTGTTACACATTCTGGAGGACGCTGGGCTCAGGTTAGATCAAGATTTGTTTTTTCTTTGGCTTTGTGTTGTCATGAAGAGATTGTTTAATAGGATTGAAATGGTTGATAGGGTGAAATTTAAACTGGGGTGGTTTTTACATTTTACATCAAACTAGTAAATTAAGGGTTCTGAATTTGTCATCTTCTCCCTAGTTCTTAAGTTGGTTACTGATATTGTTGGTAAGCCTTTATCACTTGCCAAGTAATTTCGGTATTAGGTTTTGTGATGCTTTCAGATGTAACTATGCTCTGATGCTATATTATGTTGATCTACACTTTCTTGAAGACCCTGCTTGCTGTATTTTGAATGAACTTTTGTATATATTCAAGTTGTCACAGAATATAGATGTTAACTTTTCAACCTTCTAGTACACCTAGTGATGAAGCTATTGGCAATGTATACATTTGAACTGGCTTGTGCTGTTTTTGCATTGCCAGTTTTTGTGGGTTTTTCTGATCCTGGTGAAAAGCATGCGGTTATGGTCTCTGTAGTAAGTCAAACTAAGTAGCTAGAGTAGTTCCTTTTGTATGGTTTGTTTATGATGGCACATAAAGAATTCATGAACCTCGAGTTAACTAAAATGATTAGATGATGGAACAATTTAGTGTATTTTATATACAATGTTCTTAAATATTATGTGTGGGTTTTTCCTACATCCTAATCTAATGTGGAGGAGTTCTATATTCCTTTTCAGCTGTCATTGTAATTTGTGAGACTAATTTGCTTATCGAATTTGTTTGCAGTCTGTTACAATAGAAAAGTTTCCAGCAACAAGCCCCTCCCCTTGTGTCTTAAAAGGTTCCCTTAAATTCCCATAGACTAATGAAGTGATGACTTCTACTGTGTGAGGATGTGTTGTTGTTGATTTTGGTGCATTCAGGCGGTCTATAATTAAAATATCGAATGAGAATTCACTAAGAACTGTTTATTTTTTTCATTTGCCAACAGAATTGGTTAATTAACTAGTTGTTGTGAATGTATCTTTTCGATACTACGATTCATGATAGGATTTTTCAGAAATATACCATAAATTTACCATTTTACCATGCAATGTCAATGTTCTTTCCTTTTGTTGTTGAAACTAATCCAATTTGTTTTGATCTCAGGAAGATGCAGCAGTGGAGATAGCTGACAAAATTTCTCAGTTTGTGTTGTCATTACCAAAGTCTGTCAGGAAAGTTGAGGAAGAATCCATCCCAGAGCACATACAGAAGATGCTTGATGAAGCAAAAAACAGTGGTCATGATCACCACCACCATCATAGTCATGGTCATGGACATGATCACCATGATGAACTATGATGATTCTCAAATCCATAGAGCCAATTATAGATGAACCTCATGGTTGGTGAAAGTGAACATCGGATTCAAAATTGCAGATAATACTCTAGTGCTCATACATTGTATTAGTCAAGAAGCTTAAGTTTGCACCCAGAGCAGCTAAAGCATACATGTTGTATTTTATTTATTTTTACTGTTTTACATTTTCAAAATCTTTAGAGTGTCACTCCTAACAACGATTACATCGAGCTACTTGGACCTACTTTTTGAGTTTTGGGTTTGGAAAGAATAGATTTTTATCCGTGGACATATTTTAGCAATTTAGATAGATGATGTACTAAAATTCTGGTTGCAGAAAACTAGAAGTATTGAAATTTCTGTGAAAACCATGACTACTAAAACTGAACCTGAATGAATAGCAGACCAGGTTAGGTATTGGAAACTTATTATACTGGTTATGAAAAAAAAAGGGGCATTCTCTACTCTTTTGACTGGTAATGAACCTAAATATCTGAACAATATGATGAGTGATAATGATAAAGTATAAGCTTTACGAAAAGTTTATTCATCCATGTGATAACTTTATTGTGTATTGAGCTGGATGTGTGGGAAAAGAGAGGCTTTTTTTAGTGGGTCTACAAAATACTCCTCTCTCTTAATGGGTCTACAATTTCAGAACAGCTAATAAAGTTACTAATTTTAATTCTTAACTTCGATATTTCCATAAATTAATTAATAATCATCAAATGTAAAAACTGATAATCATTATCAGTTCCAAAAACAAAATAAATTAATTGGACATGCAATTAATTTGCCAATAAGGCTGAATTTCTTTTTTTATATCGCATCATATTGATTGATGATCCTGGTTAAAATGACCAATGCTTTACCCTTAAGAAGTTATATGTAATACAAGCAAACTATGGAATCATGGTTATAAATTTAAGATGTATGTACTGATTTGGATTTGTTGTATAGAAATGTTTACAATTGAAAGATGATAAGTGCAAGAATTCTTTTCTAAACCAACGAATAACTTTGTATATGCTTTGAATATATATTGATTCCTTAACCTTTGTAGCATCCCAAGAATAGTTTATAAAAAAAATCTGATTTACAAGAGTGTAGATAAACTCTTTTTGAAAAATAGATGAGTAAAATCTGTGGAATTAAGTTTCATTTGTACACCACAAGACGTTGTAACATATCGTCAAATGCGTAAAAAATATGATCATAAGAAAAAAAAAACGGAGTTATAAAATTTGTTAAACAACAATTAAACAAGAAAAGTAAATTAAATTTATTAAATTATTTTAGCATTAAAAAGAGATAAGATAAGGTAAGAAACATAATAATGAAAAATAAAAGATTATAAAATAATGAAAAAATTAAAATAAGGACTAATCAAGTGCAATCTAAAAATTAGTTTCCAACCAATCTGTCAAATAATAATAATAAACCTCCCTTTTCAAATTAATGAACTTGAACGTGTTTTTAATAATTTCTCTTTCATTCTACATTTTTCACTATCGAGACTTTTAATCTGTCTACGGTAAGATAAACTAGTTTTACACATGACCAATGGACATTTTGCATTGCAACTGTTATATATGCTGTATCACACCCTATGTATCATATATTCTTCTAGTATGTTTCAGACAAGGGATAAGCCTTATACAAGAATCTAATATCCAGCCATTGTTAGTGTGTTGTAAAACCATGACCCAACAATCTCAGACTTATTGGTTGGGGACTGTATATGGACAGAACTACTACCCAAATTCTTAAAACCAATCGACATTTTGGCCTGAAGCTTTGGGTTTCCTCTGTGGTTTTTGATATCGGTTATTTTCAAACTTAGCTTTATTTATAAGTGAATACAACAAGTCTGCCTCAGCTGATGTATCATAGGGTGCTTCAAGTATACTGCAACATCAACCAAATGGAAACAAGAATTTAATGGAATATACCACAAAATTGCCACATGAATTATGGAATTTCATATACAAAGGAAGATTAATGAAAAACAAGGCAAACTTGTATCCTTTTATGTGAGAAATAATACATCAATAACCATGTTATCAGCATACCAGATAACTTTGGTATGATAAAGATTACCTGTCAAGTAGCTCCTCCAAGAAAATTCTTTGTGATGGGGTAACGTAGTGTATGCAATTTCTAGGACATTGACCAACAGCACATTGAACTTGGTAATCATC